ACTTACTGTCCCATCTGGTCGCGACCGCATCAACTCGATTGCGAGCTCCAGCTCTTTCGAAGGCAACCTCACCCCATCATCAGTGGGCGCAAGCAAGGATGCTCAACCCATCGCCAAGAAAAAACGATCTGGCGGTGGCAACAAGAAGGGGACCAGTGCCGAGCGCCGGGCTACTCACAATGCTGTCGAGCGAGCTCGTCGCGAGACCCTCAATACGCGGTTCCTCCAGCTTGCAGCCAACCTGCCAGCAACGGCGGCCGTTCGACGACCCTCCAAGTCTTTGATCGTCAACAAGTCCTTGGCATTCGTCGCAGAGTCTCTAGCTCGCGAGCCAATGTACCGCGGCAAAATATTCGACCTCGCAGCCCAGAACGAGGCGTTGCGTCGTGAAGCCAACGAGCTTCGACGTCAAGCTGGTCTCGAGGTGCACTTTGAAGGGCCGGTTAACCTCGAGCTGCCAGCCCCCATGGCGGACGGCACGTTCGACACCGTTCGACGCGAGTGTATTGCCAACTTGGTGGCCGAGGGTCATGACTTCGCTGCAGCGGCAGAGTACGATGACGACTTCAGCGGATCTGACGGTGGGCGCTTCGTCCCCGACAGCGCCGTCGACGTCAGTCCCTACCTCTCGGCCCAACGTTACCATGCACCTGCATACGGTCACGCAGTTGGCACACCTTCGGACGACGGTCGGCCAAGCACAGGATATTCCCACCGTCCCAGCACTGGCTACTCATCGCTGCCACCCTCTGCCATGGGGGTGCCCCAGTCGGCATCCGGTCTCCCGCCAGCCCCGTTCAGTGGCGCCCCTCAATACAATCCGATCACACCCACAACGCAAGCCATCTTCAATCAGATGCTTGGGTCGCTTGACATTCCATCCGAAGGCGCGCACCCTTACGACCAATATGCGCCAGCCTACTCCAGCGAGAATGTCAACGACGACCACCACTACATGCAAGCTCAGCTTTCAACATGAGTAGTGACCGTCGACATTGTTCTTCCACCCATTCTCCTTCGCTCGTTGCGTCGTTGCTCCTCACGTCGCACACCTCCCGCACTCTCTTTGATCCGATCTTCCCAACCTACTAACCAGGCGGAGCGAGTCGTGACAGTCTGATGTGTCTTTTTCTCACCGCGTTGCTTTAGTCTCTTCGTCGTCCTACCAAACACCCCTTTAAGGCGTACGCCCAAAGGGCGTTGCGAGCTCTCCTTCCACCTCTGTACATCAGTGTGTTTTGTTTTGGCTTGCAATCCTATCTTATTCGCTCCCCCTACATTTTGTTTGATCGTGTCTGTGTTTGCCTTGCCTTTGCCTTGGTCCACTTTGCGCCATCGTGACTTGTTTGCTCCGTGAAAGATTCAGCTGAGGGTGACCAAACATGTCACGTTGGCGCACTGGCCGTTGTATTTGCAAGCTTTGCACTGGGTCAAGAAAGCCCGCCAACCTAAGCGGAGGACGGCATCGAGTGCTCTTGATCTGCGCTGATCGATCAAGATGGCTTGCCCCTGTCAGAAAGCTGGAGCGCTCGTGAGTGATGAAGAGTGTCTCACATCTCGAGTCGATCGAGGCGCAGCGAAGAGTCAGAGTCGGCTCTTGCCGGTCACGTGCAAGGGTCAGGGCTTGCCACGTGGGGGGTTCACGCGTGCAAATGCACTCGCCTCGATTGGCTGCCGTATCAAATCGGAACTCCCGGCTTGAAGGGCACCGGCACGCGGGCGAGGCGAGGTTGCCGTGAGAAAGCGCGTGCGTGCGGCGCGAGGTCGGTTACCCGGCACGCGGCGCGGACTGGGCGGAGAAGCAGACGCCTGCGCGTTGCAGGCGCTGTGGGCGCCTTTCTTTTTCAATGGACAGACATGCGCGGCTACAGAGAAGCAGCACCCTGCAGGCCAGGCTTGGCTGCTAGCTGGCCGCAACAGCTCTGCAGACGGTATCGGGATCGATCGAGAGGTGTTGGAATGCGTTGCACACAGGCCTAACGCCTGGGCTTCCCGCCCGACCCCCGCTCTGATTTCGCGCCAGACAGAACGCGGTGACCTGCAAGACCAGCCAATGAAGTGACAGCCCTTTCAACCCGCAAAAAGGCCTCGGCCGCATCCTAACTCGAGTGCGACTGCGAGTCTACCTTTCTTGGGTTCCCACTTCGCATGCCTATCCACACCCCTCTCCACCACATCAGCTCGCCAGCGTCGCTCGAGGGCTACTCACCTCCACCGCTTCTCCCTCTCTTACAACTCAAGCATTCAAGGTCCGTGACCTGACATAGCATACACGCACACCTCTTCAATAGAGGCCCGCCCACCAATTACTCAGCTCGCCACCCTCCCAATCTTTGCAAAGCATGGCCGCCCTTCGCGCAGCTAGCCGTGCTTTGCCTTTGCGCAGCGCTACGGCGCCTCGCGCCCTCGCCCGTGGCTACGCTACGGTCTCCGAGGAGGTGCCTGACATTGACCCCAAGCTCTTCTCCAAGAAGGTCGACATGTCCCCGATGGAAAAGGGCAAGGAGTTCTGGACCAACTACAAGCGCATCGATGACAACTTGAAGGTCGTCCGCTCTCGGTGAGTTTGAAATTCATCGATGTGAAAGTTCTTCGAGTCGAGAAGAAGGAGGTCAAGCGGCCTACAGCAGCTCTCAAATTTGCGCCTTTCGCTGGCTTGGAAAGCGCATAATTGGTCCGATGGCAAGGCTAACATTTGTGAACACCTTATCTTTGTAGCCTAAACCGCCCCCTCACTTTGTCTGAAAAGATTGTCTATGGCCACTTGGATGACCCTCACGGCCAGGACATCAACCGAGGCGTGTCTTACCTGAAGCTCCGTCCGGACGTGAGTCTGCCTTTCGGAGCCTGGAATTTCATTTGATGTTCAATATGCTGAAATTTTCTGTTTCATTTACTACCCCTGCAGCGAGTCGCATGCCAGGATGCCACCGCTCAAATGGCCCTGTTGCAGTTCATGTCCGCTGGTCTTCCCACAGTTGCTGTCCCCACCACTGTCCACTGTGACCACTTGATCGAGGCGCAAGTCGGAGGTGTCAAGGATCTGGCCCGCGCAAAGGACATCAACAAGGAGGTGTACGACTTCTTGGCGACCTGCACTGCCAAGTACGGCATTGGTTTCTGGCGCCCGGGCAGTGGTATCATTCACCAAATCATTCTCGAGAACTACGCATTCCCTGGTGGTCTCATGATCGGAACTGACTCCCACACACCCAACGCTGGTGGTCTCGGTATGATTGCTTGCGGTGTCGGTGGTGCGGACGCCGTCGATGTGATGGCCGACATCCCTTGGGAGCTCAAGTGCCCCAAGGTTGTGGGTGTTGAGCTCAAGGGCAAGCTGAGCGGCTGGAGTGCACCCAAGGGTGAGTTGCGAGTGCAAGCGCATCAGATGGAATCGCATCGACCTCATGTCCACTCTGCCGTTCTTCCGCCACAGACATTATCCTGAAGGTTGCCGGTGAATTGACTGTCAAGGGTGGAACCGGTGCGATCATCGAGTACAAAGGCCCAGGTGTCGAGAGCCTGAGCGCCACTGGTATGGGCACAATCTGCAACATGGGTGCCGAGATTGGTGCTACTACCTCCGTCTTCCCCTTCAACGAGCGCATGGCTGCCTACTTGAGGGCAACTCGTCGTCCAGAGCTCGCGGAGCTGGCCCAAGGCTTCCAAAAGAACCTCTTGCCGGACCAAGGCGCCGAGTACGATCGTCACCTCGAAATTGTCAGTGTGGACACCTCACTGACAGCGGTGGTTTGCCAAACAGCTGACGATCTGCTTGCACTCCCTCTTGGTCGCAGAACCTTTCTGATCTCGAGCCCCACATCAACGGCCCCTTCACTCCTGATCTTGCGACTCCCCTGTCCAAGTTCGCTGCAGCTGTCAAGGAGAACAACTGGCCCGAAGAACTCAAGGTTTCCCTGATCGGCTCATGCACCAACTCCTCTTACGAAGACATGAGCAGGTCTGCCTCGATCGCCGAGGAGGCAGCCGCTCACGGTCTCAAGGTCAAGTCCCAATTCACGATCACTCCTGGATCTGAGCAGATTCGTGCTACTATTGAGCGTGACGGACAAATGCAAACCCTCAGCGATGCAGGAGGTGTTGTGCTTGCCAACGCATGCGGTCCTTGCATTGGTCAATGGGACAGGCAAGACGTCAAGAAGGGCGAGAAGAACTCAATCATCACCAGCTACAACAGAAACTTTACCGGCCGTAACGACGCCAACCCCGCTACCCACGCATTCGTCGCATCCCCAGACCTTGTCACCGCCATGGCTTTTGCAGGATCCCTAACCTTCAACCCTTTGACCGACTCGCTCAAGGGCGCTGACGGCAAGGAGTTCAAATTCTCTGACCCCACCGGTAAAGAGCTGCCACCTCGCGGCTACGACCCGGGAGAGGAGACCTTCCAGGCTCCTCCCGAGGACCGCGCTTCCGTTGAAGTGGCCATCGACCCCAAGTCTGACCGTCTGCAATTCTTGGACGCATTCGCCCCTTGGGATGGAAAGGACCCTGAGGGCCTGCCCGTCTTGATCAAAGCCAAGGGAAAGTGCACAACCGACCACATCTCGGCTGGTGGACCTTGGCTCAAGTACCGTGGCCACTTGCAGAACATCTCCAACAACTGCTTGATCGGTGCCATCAATGCCGCCAACGACAAGGCAAACGAGGTTCAAAACCTCAAGACTGGCGAGTGGGGCCCTGTTCCTGCCACCGCCGCGTACTACCGTGACACCTTGAAGAAGCCTTGGGTCGTCATTGGTGACTCCAACTACGGAGAAGGCAGCTCCCGTGAGCACGCCGCGCTTGAGCCCCGTTACCTTGGAGGTTACGCTGTCATCACAAGATCTTTCGCCCGTATCCACGAGACCAATTGCAAGAAGCAAGGTCTCCTGCCCTTGACCTTCAAGAACGAGGCTGACTACGACAAGGTTCAGCCCGAGGACCACGTCGACTTGAAGGGCGTGAAGGAGCTCGCCGAGGGCTCCACCATCACCCTTGTTGCTCATCACAAGGACGGCAGCGTCGATGAGATCCCTCTCGTCCACTCCTTCAACCCTGGTCAAATCGAATGGTTCAAGGCAGGGTCCGCACTCAACTTGATGGCTGCCAAGGCAAAGGCACGCGCTAGCGCGTAAAGGTCTTCTCGTTCTATAGATCTCCAACTCCAGCTCGCCTCCCCAATAATTTGCGCTCGAGGGACCGCAAATCACTTCCCCCAAAAAAGAATTACCCAAATCTTTTCACCTCGTTTCCGGTGTCCTATATTCTGCAATGTGATTCCTCGTACACAGAAGTCCTATTTTGCGTGACGTCGTGGTGAAAATGGGATTGCCTCTAGAAGAGAAATTCAAAATCACGCTCGCCCGCAGTCCGATATAAGCTCGAGAACGTTCCAGCCAGGCTTCTCGCAAGCTCGTCCGCACGTTGAGTGTCCAGAGTGCTGATTCTTTCACACGACGTGTCTTGCATGCGTCAAGCGCAAAGGTTATCGGTGTAGGGTATGCAGGGGATGCGCGCAGCTAGGTTGCCAGTGGAAGAAGGTGACGAACCTTTGGTGCGCCTTGGACGATCCATCAGCGCTCAAGGATGAGCTGCTGCGAATTGCACGTACAAGAGGCTGATGTACCGTATAGGTCTCAAAACGCGTCTTCGTTTCTTCCGCTGCAGAGGCCCCTAAGTGAGCAGCAGGAAGCTTAGCAGGCAGGCAGTAAGTACCGTACGATACCCTTCAAAGTGAGATTTGCCTTGATTGCCGGGGCTGATGAGCCTGAAAGAGCACATCGAAAGAGGGGCTGCTGTCATGACTGCTCGTCATGTGGTGCGAAGGAATGATCCGCAATATGCGTACCGAGGCACAAATCGCTCAAAACATACTGCGAGCACTTGGGAGAGCAAAGCGTCGGATCGGATTGGACTTGTGCGCATGCATTCACATTGCAGCGTGCGCGACTCGACCGATCATCTTCACCCCATCTCGGATCACCGAGGCTCACCGTCCATGCGCGTCCGAGAATTTTTGACCTTTGAAGATATGCTCAATGCGAGCTCGATCAACCGACTCGACTGACCCAAGAAATGTAGTCGGCAGACGCGACAGGATGAATCTTGCGGCGCTTTGTGCGTCATTGGTTTGTCGGACGAGGCAGTCTTTGCCCAGCCGAGGATCTGTTGAGATGCGAATCTCGGATGCTATCGTCCCAACGCAGCGGCCCCGCTCGCGGTAACATCTGGCCGGAATCAGAATGCGAGTATGCGCCGTCTGAGTGTCCACTCATCTTGCTTCGCAGTCACACTGCGCAATGGTACTGAAGGGAACAAAACGCCAGCACCCGTCGTCAGTCCTGTGACCGTTCGCGACTACAAGAAGTACGTATACGGTCAACGCTTGCGAGTTGCCGTGCTTGAGCTTTTAGATCAGGTGCACCTCGCTCGCAAGTGCAATAGCAGCTGCTCTAGCTGTCAGCCAGCAATCCCTGACCAAAAAGGTTTGGGTCACAACTGTAGGGAGAGAGGCTTGGTTGGACGTCTTGTCAGCAAATCGACTGTGAGAGGCTGTCCGCAGTGCGCACTGGCGCAGAAGCGCTGGATTCACCCGCCCATTGGACATTCACGATTACATTTGACTCGTGCCTTGCCGAGGCGAGACTCGAGCTCTTCGCCTCAGGGAAAGATCTGCTCGAAGGATAAGAGGATTGCAAGAATCGCTTGATTGCCGAGCTGTCCGGCAAACGGGCTCAGGCTGCCAGGAGCGCAAAATCTCGAGCCAACAAACCTCCCTTGGAGAAAGCGTCTGAAAGATCCGTGATTTGATCGAGGGTTCCTGGCAGTCAGCAGTCGTGAGTGAGTGCTGTGCAGGCCGCGGGCGTTCACGAATTGTCAAGGTTGAATAAGGCCTCGCTACCGCCGCCTCATCGGGACTTCTTCCGACGCTACGGACGTCAGCAGCGCGCTACCGGCACATACACAGACCTGTAGCTGTACGCGCGAGGCTCTGAATGTCGCAAGCCCGTCTCAATTGATCTACAACTCAGTGTAGTAGTAGTAGTAGTAGTAGTAGTAGTATATTTGTTCACATGTACGTAGCGACGTTAACAAATAATACAAACAAATAA